CTCGACCCTGCCTTAGAGCCAGCCGGCTATGAGCTGAAACTGCTACAGGCTGTGAGCCAAAGTCAACCTCTTCTCCCATGGGGCTGGGGATTTAGCTCAGCGGCACAGTGCCTGCCTGGCAAGCGCAAGGTCGTGAGTTCGATTCCTGGTACTGGAAAAAAAACAAACAAACAAAAAAAAACAACCTCTCCTCCTTTAACTTGTGTCAGGTACTGTGCCTGAGTGACGAGAAACATGACTAAGACACAGGGCTCAAGTCAGGAGGTCAGCACGGAGCCCTCCAGGCACCATCACCAGAGTCAGCCTGAGCAAATGATGACCGTCCCTGAGTCTCAGTTATTTCCCTAAAAGAATAAAGATACTAGTGCCTCGTAAACTCTTAAACTCTTTATGAATGTGAGAGAAACACGATTGGGAGTGTAAACTGGAGGCACTGGTAAAACATCATTGGAATCCATCGCTCTTTTCTTTTTTTGTTTGTCTTTTTGAGACAGTCTCGCTGTGCAGTTCAGGCTGGCCTTGACTCACTTTGGTTTTTTTTGTTTTGTTTTTGCTTTTTTTTTTTGGTCTTTTTGAGACAGGGTCTCACTATGCAGTTCAGGCTGGCCTTGAGCTTGCCTTATAGCCCAGGCTGGCCTCGAGCTCACAATGATCCTCCTGCCTCAGCCTCCGGAGTGCTGGGATTACAGGTGTGCACCATCATGCCCGGCTCCATCACCTTTTCTGTACTTTGTTTTGTTCAGCTGCAGTAGAGAGGCAATCAGCCCATGGTGTGGACACATGAGAGACACAGCTGGACACACAGAGGAAAGAGGACCTGGGCCCAGGACTCGAGGTAAGCTTCTCTGACTTCCCAGAGGATGCACCCAGTCCAAAAGAGGTTGGCTAGACACTGCTCCCTGGCTCACCAGCCCTGTTCCCATTACCCATTCTTGCTCATGTCCACCAAAGAGGCTGAAGTGACACAGTTCTTGGCAGTGAGTCACACACAAGAGACATCTACTGGGTGCTTTTGGTGAGCATTTGCTTTATACTTTGTGCAAACTAGAAACGGATTTTGCCTCTTAAGGGGCATCCAGTTGGGACAGGGATATACTATTCTCTTACATGACCAAAACCTAACATTTCATTTTCTTTGTCTTTTTTTTGAGACAAGCTCTCACTATGCAGTTCAGGTTGGCCTTGAGCTCACTTTGTAGCTCAGGCTGACCTCAGACTCACAACAATCCTCCTGTTTCAGCCTCCTGAGAGCTAGGATTATAGGCATGAGCAAAACCTAAGATTTTGAACATGGTCTTTGCTCTAAAAGAGGCACAGGTGTAGTGCCATGGAATTTAAAAGAAGGAACACCTTCTTCCTGTTAAGGGTCAGGGACTGCTTCCAGAAAAAGGGGTGTTTGAAGCCGGGTGTGGTGGCTCACACCTGTGATCCCAGCACTTGGGAGGCTGAGGAAGAGGATCATTTCATTTGAGACCAGCCTGGGCTACAAAGTGAGCTCGAGGCCAGCCTGAACTGCATAGCAAGACCCTGTCTCAAAAAGGCAAAAAAAAAAAAAAAAAAAAAAAAAAGGGAGGCCTTTTGATATGAGAAGGACTTGAACTCCAGACATGGAGATGATTCAGATGCAGTTGCCAGCAGTCCTAAACCTCCTCACTACCCCAAACCACATGATAGGAATCTAATCGCTCTTGCCACATGATACATTTATAATGAGATTACATCTCCTGAAGTCTTTTAAGGATCCACTCTAACTTGTCTCCGTGAAGTGCGGCGGGTGGCCCGGCCACATCATCCTTTTTGCCATTCTCCAGCTGCACCTTCACCCACGCAGACTCCCTCCCTCCGCTGTCCGTGCTCTCTAGTCCCAGGCGGGGGCGGTGTTTTTCTAAGGAGCACCTGTGTAATGAACTCATGTTTGTTATGGAGATAGGAAATTTCTCTGAGCAGAATCTGCACTTTGCATTCCTTACCCCTAGGAGCAGGTCACGAGCCAGCTCACATCATTCGGGAATTTGGTGGCCGCTGGAATGCCTGTGCAGGTTTCTGGCTGAGCTTAGGGTTGGCATGTTGAGTGGAAACTAAGTAATGGTTTCGTTAGGACCATTCTCTGATCCCTCCGATTAAATCAATCTGGGCAACTGTGTACTTCAAAATCACCCTTCTATGTCGCCAACAGGATGGCAAAGATGTATAAAAATATATACAGAAAATGTAACAGGTTTTGGTGAAACTGAGAACCCTGTGGACTATAGATAGGAAAGTACAATGGTACAGCCACAATAGAAAACAAGACGGCAGTTTCTAAAAAAAAAATTAAAAATGCAAGTACCTTTTGATCCAGGAGTTCTACTTCTGGGTACCTACTCAAAAGTATTGAAAACAGGGTCTTGAAGAGATATTTGTGTATCAATGTCCATAACAATGTCATTCACGGGCTGGGGATTTAGCTCAGCGGCAAAAGCGCCTGCCTGGCAAGCGCAAGGTCGTGAGTTCGGTTCCTGGTACCAGAGAAAAAGCCAAAAAAAAAAAAAACCAAAAAAAAACAACTATCATTCACGATAGCCAAAGAGCAGGAGAAACTCAGGTGTGTCCACCAACGAGTAAATGGATAAACAAGATGTCCATATTCATACAGTGGGATATTGTTTAGCATTAAAAAGAAAAGGAATTCTGACATATGCTATAACATGAGTGAACTTTGAGTAAGTGATGTAACGAAAGCTTTATAAAAGGACAAATACTGTGTGATCCCACTTACATGAAGTACACAGAGAAATCAGCTAATAGAGACAAAAGTACAGTGGTGGCTTCTGAAGACTAAGAGGAGGGGTTTGGGAGACGTACTTAACGGGTATAGAGTTTCAGTTTGGGAAGATGAAAAACTTTTGGAGGTGGGTGGTGGCGATGGTTGCACAATTTGAATACATTTAATCCACTGAACTGTACACTTAAAATTGGATAAGCTGGGCACAATTTGAATACATTTAATCCACTGAACTGTACACTTAAAATTGGATAAGCTGGTGTGATTCAGTGGTGGGGCTTAGAATCTGTGGGGCCTTTGGGTTCGATCCTGAGCAGCACACACACGCACACACACACACACACACACACACACACACACACGTGCACACACACACATACACACAAAGGCTGAAATGGTAAATTTTATACTATGTGTATTTTGCAGTAAAATCATCCCCCTACAGTGCCATTTTCTTAAAAAGAAATTGTTGAACTGCAAAGATCAGTTGTAGTCTGTTTTACATTTTTGAAGATCACTATGATAGAATTAAAAGAGCAAGACTTTGAGTCAGAAAGCCCAGGGTCAAGTCTCAGTTCTGCTCTTTATTAGCTGTTCTTGTTCTTGATGTGGTTTTCTTTCGTTTGTTTTGTTTTGTTTTGTTTTTGAGGGAGTACCAGGAATCAAACTCAGGACCTCATGTTTGCCAGGCAGGCCCTGTGCCACTGAGCTAAATCCCTGGCCTGTGATGGTATTCTTACTGAACTTAGTTGGCCTTGTTAATTGGCCAAGTATTATAATATCTGCTTTGACCACCTCATCAGGCAGATGCAAAGATTCATTTAGATAATTTATGGGAATGTGCTTAGGAAACCACAGAACACTAAACAATCACAAAAGATTTTTCAAGGAGATGATGAGGTTCTCGCTGAGACCTATTTTAATATTTTCCAACTTCTCTTGCCAAGAAGTTCTCCTAGCACACCTACATTCCAACTAAGGTAGTTTCATTTAGCCTGAAAATAACCTTTCTCCTGGGATGTGCCTAGCTTCCAGGTCCCAAGCTCCTTCCATCTGGCAGGTATCACAGGGGGAGAGCAGCAGCCCTCAGCAAACGACACCAGCAAGGATTTTGGGGCCAAGGACAGCCTTCTTCTCCAGGTCCGGTTCCCGGTTTGGTTTGCAAATTCCTGGCTGTCATAACAACCCCCAAAGCAAAGAGGGACTGTTCAGTGTCGTCTTTGACTGCAGCCTGCGCCTGGAATGTGCTCAGGCTGGCCCCGGTGAAGAGTGTTTGCTGGTAACCATACCTCTCCCTCAGGACCTCAGGATGTGTGAGGCAGGCGCTGCCAGGCTCACCACCTCCAGCTGCACAGCTTCCTGCTCTCAGGGCCGCTCAGCTCCTTGGCTCCTCTGTCTCCCAGAAGCTCTGCCAGATCCCCAACAGGGAGGGAGTTTCCAGAGGAGGCCACGGGGAGATGAGTTAATTCCGCAGTGGAAGCAAACGCACGCGGCCATGCGCAGATGTGTGAGGATGGCTTGAGGAGCAAGTGGCTGACAGCATTTCCATGGCAACCTCAAGCATCCTAGCTCGGCCTCGCTGACCTATTCGAATGCTTGCAATCAGGGCTGTTTATTCCTGAGCTCCAGGGAGAAGCCTCAAAAGAGACAGAGCTAAAAGTGTTAATTGGTTTCACAATTTAAAAAGAAATGCGTACAATGGAAATGAGTAAGTGCCTCATTCATGAAGAAATGTATCTACAAGGAGGTAGCATGTCCTTTGCGTGGATGATTACAAGATTTTTACATATTTGGGAACAAGGTATAGATGGGTTTGTCCTCATTGCCAGGATTCCTGATTATGCACAGTGACTGACAAGATACGAATTGTGGGTTGAATTTCAAAATTAAAATTATATAAAAAAAATTACAATAGTTTTCAGGGAAGGGCGTATTTTCATGGTGAGTATGATGTGGCATGTGTTCTCAAAAGGCATAAAGCCGCACAGTGTTCTGGTTACTGCTTACAGGTGTGTTTCTCCTTCCTTTCTCCTCACTGCTTCCCTCCCTCTTTTCCTTCCTGCCTTATTTTCTTCCGTTTTCTCCCCCTTCCTCCCTCCTTTTTCCTTTTTTTTTTTTTTTTTTTTTTTTTTTTTT